ATCAATCCCTAAAGGAATTAGTCTCTTCGTAATCGCTCCTGATGAGCGTCTTGATCGCAGTAGCTGAATGATTGCACTGCTGTCAGCAGGCGATCGCAGTTAATTGATTGAAAATGCTTCTTGCATTGCAGCGTGCACCTGACGTATCTGCGGGAGTGCAGTAAAATCTGACAGAGCATCCTGGCTGAGACAAAGATGCTAAAAGCAAATTTGGGGAGAAGGGTGGGGAAGAAAAGTAAATTTTCCTCTGCTCAGAAAATACAAAACAGATTTCGAGAAAAATGTATTCAAATGAATAATCTCTCCCTGCCATCACATTTTGACTCCAGGACCCCAAGGAAATGAAATGCACCTTCACATTCCAATATGCCAATCTGCTCTAGCCAAAGAAGAAAGCCAAACTGGAGAGTGCACATTGCACTCCTATAACAGTGTAAAATCTAACTGCTGGCTAAGGAAAGTCAGCAGCCTAAATGGGTGAGACAAACGAGACGTTGTTTAGGCCAAGTTGGCTCTATTCTTGGGTTTCATAAGCCCACACATGAGCTCTCTAAACTTCAGAGCAGATGATCCATTTAGCTCCAGTGTGTCGTTGTGAACAAGCCAGCTAAATCTTTTCAAAGACTTTTTTTTTAAATACAAATTTCACACCTTTATACATTAAAATCTTTTTTCCTTCCTTCATAACAAGAGCAAAAATGTTTGAGGGCCCCAATCCACAAGCACATACTCATGAATACTCATGAACCCTTGCACTTAAAAAGCTTCTTATGCTAGAGAAGTTACACATAGGGGTAGGCTGTTATGAAGTTGAACCCTTGGCTCAAAGAACTTATTCTGACTTAGAAAGGTGCTAAGAATGTGTTTGTAATTGCACAGATTGAAAAATCTAATAAAAATGAGTAATACCACGAACAACACAGTTTAACAAGAGGCAAGCCCCTTGTGTTAGAGGAAGGAACCCAGAACAATTTCATGCAGCAATGGAGTTGACAAATTTGGCAGTCTAGCCTTGTATTTTCCACTTATTAAAATGAAATATGTGTGACTACCTCTCCAAGCTGCTTTGAGAGCAACTACCTATTCACTTTGGACGTAAGAGACTTCTCCAAAATCTTTCACTTCTCAAAAAGCTCTTTTCAGTGTTGGCAGCTCCCACAGCAGGATCTGAGACGGCGGCTACCTTAGGTATTTATAAAGCCTGAGGGACAGACATCCACTGCAGCGCAGTGGCAAGGCGCCAGGGCCGGACACTGGGGATCGCACGCAGGCCGCTCACACCATCATGTTGCTCCTTGCAGGCCCGTACCCGAGAGGAGGGCTGAGCATTTTCACAAGGGCTGACCCGGGCCCTGGGGGAGCCGCTTCGTTCTTCTTGGCCAGAAGTGCCTACAAGTTGTGCAAACAGAGCACAGGTGCAGATTATATTAGTGCTCAGGGAGGGATATGATACTTGTTCCCTGCTGTAAACCTTTCCACAAAGAGGTTCTTGATGGCAGAGAGCAGCCCCAGAGTGTTACCTCCTTCACCACCTGGCCGCCTAATGCCTGTGCCCTGCTGTAGTTTGGTGGGGCTTGAACTCTGCCCATGTGCACTCTCCTTCCAGCTTAACAGTGGAAGTGGAGAAATCCTGGAAGGTGGTAGGAGCGAGTGGCAGAAACTACTCTTTCTTTCGAGGGTCGGCTGAATGATGAATGAGGCTGACAGGATGTGCTCAGAGCTGTCCTTGAAGGCAGCAGATAAAACCTCCTCCTCATCCTCCTTGAGGGACTGACTGTAAAGTCATCAACGTGGAGCAAGCTGTAGATCCAGGGGTCTTTTCATACCAGGTTCTTCTGGTTGATGTAGACCAAATACTAGTGCAGGAACTGCCCTTGCTGTAGTTCATGCTATTTAATTATGCAGATGCAAAGGGTTCAAACTCATTGTGCTTATAAAGTCTTCCTGTAAGGCCTAAATCTAATTTCAAAGTTCCAATTGAATCTGTTCTGCGTTTTGCTGGCAATGGTATTTTATTTGCTTAAAAAAAAAAAAAAAAGGAGAGCAAGTCTGTTTTCCCCAGGCTTTTCTTTCTTCTGGATATGAAACCTGGGGTGGTTTAATGTTAGCCGGTCAAAACAGAAGAGAAGTCATATCTGACACTGTGTTTTTTATGTTTTCCTTGAGCCCTGTTTCTTACTCTTCCAGTTTCCTATTCTCTCTCTCTGTTCCCTCCCTAGTTACTTTCATGTTGCTGATAATCTGATCCAGACCCCTCACTGGGAGACTTGCCATTGAGTTGAGCATGAGTTGGGTGGTCCCAGTACCTCACATAAGGCCTCGGTCAGTCCTGGCCGTGATTCCCTACAACATAGGTTGTGAAGATGACATTTTCCTGTGAAGAAAATTTAGTCCACTAGTGGAATTTCCAGCTTTCTCTGCATTTCTGATTTTCTCTCTGCTGTTAACTCAGCCTATGACTCTGGGCAGGTGGGTGTCTCTGGTCTGCCCTATCTATGTAATGGGAAATATGATACTTTTGCCTTTTTGTTACACCCAATGTCAGGAAGATTAAAGAAAGTTTGAGAAGTGTTTGTAAATCCTGGCAAAAATACAAACTGTTATAGGTGATCGAAATGAAAAACAACTAAATAGCCATCTGGAAATGATAGTAATGGCAACAGAACTCTATTTCAAAGCAACATAAAAGCATAGCTTATAATATTTGTAGCATGTCTGACCCAGCTTTTATATTTTCCATATATGAAAATACCAGTTTCTAAAACACATGTAAAGAAGGTGTGATTTAGACTGCAGTTTCCCAAGCTGTGCTGTCCCAGGAAGCTTTGCCATGGAAGAAAGCTGGACAACAACTCCTGTGTGGTGAGATCACCTCTATTTCTATCTGCAGGCAATGGACTACCTGCACCTGGGAGAGAAGGTATATCAGCTTCTTAATTGTGTTGCAATGTATATAGTTACCTGCAGCACACATCACGGGACTTTAAGGCACATAGACAATTAATGAAGAATTCACTTCACTGTGTGAAGACTCACGTAAAGTCCCAAATGTAACACACCCAGACATGAAGCCAGAGCAAGTCTTTTTGGAGAGAGGAGCTCAAATCCTGGTGGATTTGGATACGGCAAGTTTAAGTCTGCATATGCAAAATTCAGTATTTAGCTGTGGAATTCAGATTTAACATGTACTTGAAGAACTGTACCAGTAAATAGACACTGTGATCAGGTACATTCCACGCTGACAACATGCCACTTTTACACCAATTTCCATCACCGTTTGGAAGGTATAAAAAACATTAACTGCAAGATGCCAGCAGTTCAGCATCATTCTGATGAGTCAATAGCACTTCTCAAAATATCCAAATATCCAAAATATCAAAAGTCAAGACAGAGGCAAAATGCCACTGTGTGAGTGGTTAAATTACAAGGCAATCTCACTTGCATGATTTCTGGTAATGGAATATGGAACTTTTCAACTTCAGGTCCCTTTGGGATTCTACTAATATGACTAAGAGTTATGGCTGTCCTCTGTGAAGTGGTCCCGTTTTCCAGGTAGAAAATCTCTCTCTCCTCTCTTGGTGTGTCCCCTTTCCTATATACTTCTCTCTATAATTCACTTTTTGGTACTTTTGATTGAATAAATAAACACTTCACTAGCCCAGTGAAAGCTGTGTAGAACCTGCCACCACAGCAGGAATGGAAAATACAGAAGGTGGTTTTGAACTGGATGGATATCTTACCCCTTAGAGATCTGGAAGGATCAGCTTGTATAAATAGTTTTCAAATAGTTTTGAAAGCACTTCTAAACTACTGAGACCATGCAGCCTTGTTGCATTGAGTGACTAAACCTGAGCAACCTACCGCTTTTACTCTGTGTGGCAATGAAACTGCCCTACCCAGCAGTTTCTTCATGCCAACCACCATTTGGTTGCATCTGTTGGCACTGCTTTTGCCTTGTCTTTGCTTGCTGTGGCTCTGTGGGTAAACACACGATGTCTATCTGCAGGGCTGCCAGTCACTAACTTTCACAACATTCACTCAGTTTTTAGAGTAGAGAGTAATTGCACTGCTCATGATGTAAGGACAGGTCAGTATTGTCTCTCTCAATACTAGGGAGCTCAAACCAGGACAGTCTCTAATATACAAAGACACATAAAGGCTCTAGGTAGTGTCCTTGGCTTTCTACTGGAAACCAAGACTGACACCTTTTGTAAAGAAAGGCTGGATCTCTGCAGTAGAGAAGCTTTGTGATGAGCTCAGGTCTCCCATCCAAACTCATGGCTGAGCCAGACTCTACCAATGACGATCAGGATGAAATACAAAAGTTATCTATTTTTTGTAAATTAAAAGTACCAAAGAGGAAATGGACAAAGGAAAAGTCTAGGTAATATTGGTTTCTGTAAAATAGCACCAGATTTCCTCTTGTGCCTGCTATGCTACAGATTATAGTGCTGGCAGGTCTCTGGTTAGTTGTCCTTATTACACTTTGGGTCATGAGAAGTAGAGAGCTGGTTTCCTTGGTTTCAGGGTAAACATGGGCTGTTTCTAGTTACCCACCGCACATCCATGACCTGGGATAATCCAGAGCTGCTGGCCATAAAAAGCCCCAAGCATGTTCTGTGGCTGAGCCCACCCTGCTCCCCAAAGTGATTATTTGATTTGCCTTTTGTTGGTGATGTTTTCTTTAATTAAGAGTTATTCAGTCTTTGATTAATCCTTTGTCAAGGAGCTCCTAGCTAGTTCACACCAGAACACCCTCACCGAGGGCTGGTACAAATGGGATAGCCTGGCCTGACACAGCAGGGTGTGACCTGCCCATCTTCATGAAAGCAGCTGCTAGGCTCTGAGAGCCTTAACAAGGCTTGAGTGCCCTGAGCAGCCTCAGCTGGGCACGCACACAGTGCCCTGCCCACGGCCCTGGGGATTTTATTTAAGATCAGCCCTGGGCTACCAGGCCTAGCCTGGGAGGTGCTGTGGTGGGCCTCCAGTTCACCATAGCTGTGCTCCTGTCTGGCCTGGCTTCCTAGTGTGATCCGTGAGCTGCTCCATCCCTGAGCTCCTGCCTGGCGGATGTTGGGCTGTGTCTAACCCTGGTTGTTCTCATAGCACCTGGCTTGACTGTGGACCTGTCTTGTCACCGTGATCTTGCCTGCTGCTCTGGGCTCTTGATGCCACCTGGCTACTACCTGTGGGCTGCCTGCTGCCTTGCTCAGGTACCCTGGGATGGGGCCCTTGCTCTGCTGGCTGTGCTGCTGTGCTCAGTCCTCTGTCCTTCAGGGAGCAGCTGGCCCTGACACTGACCAAAGTGCTGCTTGGGAAGGTCTGCTTAGTGTTGAATGTTGAGGTTTTCCAAATAGGTGCCCTAGAATGAAATGCTGTCCTGTTAATTAAGTATAAATGCAGAACTAGTGTTAAATCCATGGACCCAGCTCTTCAAAATTGTGGCAACCCACAAATGTGGGTGATCACTGGAGCTGTGCGTTTTCTGTCTCTTGAACACTCATGCTCTGGGGTTGATCAACTTATGTAAGTGCCTTCAATGCTGCAGCTGAGGTGCTGCTTCTTGAAAAGAGAGCTTATAGTGCTGCTTTCCCCAGAAGGGTGGAAATGCTCTGTGCAGCAAGGAGGAAATGGATGGTACTTCTGTGGAAGTGACAGCTTCTCATTCCTGGTTGCCCTCTCTGGCAGGCTGCTCAGTCTGACAGCTGAGGGAAAACAGAGGAGCTAGCAGTTCTTTAGAGAAGGCAAGAAAACCAAAATCAAGCATTTAGTTCAATCATTGCTGCTGCAGCTGTGCTGGGGATGTTTACAAGCTCCGAGATGTGGCAAAAGTGCCTACCTGCAAGCATGTGGAGCAAGCTAGGGACCCACGAGGCAGCAAAGGACATCAGTAACAGGCAAAGAGAGGCTGCCTGGGGCGATGACCTTGGTGAGCACTTTCCTGCAAAACATGGAACCGGCGTCTGCTCTCAGACACTTATGTGCTGCTCTCAGTGGGATCGGTAGTCAAGACCAGCAGTAAGCACGAGTACCCTCACGGGTGTCCTGCCCTGGTCAGAGGCCAACTGGAGGAATTAAATTTTGATACTTATGACTCTCTAGGGAAGGAAATCAATTTTGCAACAACTGTGCACAAACTTAGTAAGCAGATCCTGCAAGCGAGTCTGAATTACTCAATAAGTGTTGAACAGATCTGCCTTAGCTTAGCTGCTATTTTGGGGAATTTAGTTCCTGAATTGCTGTGGTGTAAGTGTGTATTTCTTGTTTTGGGTCTGCCCGCTGTAATGGGGAGGGAAGGGTGAGAGTCCTGGCTCTGAAGTAAAGCTAGATGCCATCTCTAGTTGTTCCCTTTGAAATTTGTGTGAAATGTGAAATTTTTGGGGTTACTTGGAAGGGAGGAAAATGCTGCCAGATACTGGTTTTGAGTGTAGTAGCAGCTTTGAATATGGAACAGACTCTTCAGCTAAGCTTTGTCCTCTCTTTTTCCTTGAGGTTTGTTCAGACCCCTCCAGAAATTCTCCTGTATGTTTGGCTTTTTCATGGAAAAGACTCTTAAAAAGAAGTCATAGTTGTGAACATGAATATTGGCTGCAATTCAAATACCATGGGATGGATATTAATTTTCAAGGGGTTGATATGTTGCTTCTTCATGGGAATTAATGTGGCTTGTTTGAATTGTCCCACATCTAATTAAGTTGAGTAAAAACTACGTAGTTATCTAGTGTGACTTATAATGCAAGGAAAACCCTCTGGAAGAAGCCTCCTGAGGCCTGTGGTTGTGGTGAGCGTGACATGGGAAGGGCGGCACAGGAGTGGGCAGTTGTACTGCCAGTGTGGTAGAGGAACAAGAACGAGCAAGGGGAGGGAGATGGGTCTCTTCCGCACTGTACACTGCAAACATTTACTGAGCTTCAGTTCTCTCCTTTGCACCAGCTGAGGAACCTGAGACCAGTGCTCCGGGTCATACTGGGCCCCATGTGCCACCTGGCAGTCGCACCTCCCTGCAAGCAGCAGTGCCAACCCCGGGCTCCTCATCCCTGTAGGTTAGAGAGGACTAGTGTGCTCATGGACAACTGGGGCACTCGAAAGGATGCATTGTGTCAAATGATCCCTTATGAATTATTTTTCTGGCACTAATGAGTCTATAGCAGCAATAGATTGATAAATAGGCCCTTCTCAGGGAAAATAAGTGGTTTCTTGGACACACGAGAGAAATCATTCTCCTTTTCAGTATTTAAAATATAAATCACAGATAAGTGAGCAATTTTTTATTTTAGTTTGGGTCCTACAAATGGAATGAATTCAGAAGGTTAAGCCCAGATGAGCTCATGCTGTTCAGCTGGATGATATTAGGAGTTAATCCCTTTGCATGGTTCCACATTCTGTAATACCTCTCAAGCCTGACAATTGCAGCTATATTTTAAAGCCTTTTAAAGATAATCTGTTGGAAATGCAAAGCTGGGTGAAATAAAGAATATTCTTTTACCTAGAAAAGACAGCACTTCTGTTCCCATTTAAACTCTTTTCTCAACTGGCTGGCAAAATAGATTCAGACTTTCTTACAGCCTTGCAGTGGTAACTTGTAGAGTCCAATCTGTCAGCACTGTAGCCTGTTACCTTTTTTCACAAGGGCTTTAAGTATTTAAAGATGTCTTTCACAGTATTTAAGATGCTTGTTCTATGGTCACTAACTTTTTTCATTTGTTTGGTTGGTTGTTGTTGCTGGCACTTAAAATGGCTACTTTCTGGGATTTTTTTAGATGGCCATTTGTGTTAATTGTTTCTTGTGGTCATTAACAGAGTAACTTGATCATCTCCTAACAAGGAGGCTATAAAATGTCTAGTAGATCTGCAGTGTGGACTGACCTGGAGTGTGTGCTTAGCTGACCCAGGAGTCGCAGCAGGGTTATTTGATTCCCGTGCTAGCAGAATGCTTTAGGGATTTGCTGCTTACATCTAAAATCCTCGTACCAGGTTTCTGAGCCATCTACCAAACAGCTGATCCCCTCATCCAGGTTAACCTCCCTGGTTCCATCTGTGTCACAGGGCTCAGGATAGAGAGGAGATTGCCAGGAGCAGAATGGCCCTTTGAAGAACTGGGGAACACCCAAATGCCTTAGCACTCTGGGCTAAGTATCAATCGAAGTAAGCTCATGTCTGAATGAAAGCCAGAAGCGTTGTGGATGCTGGCCTTTTACTTAAGTCTCATGAGTTTTATTTACGGCTTCTGTGTGTGTGTGTTTGTTTTTTAAAAAGCTGTATGCCTGGAATGTGACCTGAACAAATCATAGTAACTTGAAAAATCAGAAAGCAAAGGACCAAATTTGGTCCTCACCTTTTAATGTTCAAGCTGAAACACAAGACTCGCTAGAAGACTGTGGTTTAGATAGCTGCCTTAGTCTGAGTGCTAGAGTCAGGGAGAGCCAGGAAGGGGTTTTCTTTCCTCTAATAGCATTTAATGTATAAGCTGTTACACAAAGATCCTTGTGGGCATATGCTCTATAGGGAGAAGTAAACCTGCAGGAACACCACAGGGGTGTTTATTTTCAAGAGGTCTCTAAATGAGTCAAGTAATTCTGAGGGCTGACTCTTTTGTTTAAGAATGGTTAGGTTTGCCAAAGCTCAGAACGGAGCAGAAAACAAGTGATGCTTGGAAGGGAACTAAGTGATGAAGGAAAAACAGACGGAAGTTAAAGACGGGTGTTCTTAGCCCATGCTTCTCTTAAACTTGTGTTTCTTTTCTTTTTCCCCATATATTTCCCTATTTCTTTTCCCATTCCCTTCTGTGTTTGGCTTCCTTTCCAGCAGTGAAGGGGTGAGAAGCAGAAAAGCGGCAGGGCAAGATTGTTGATGCTGGTTCCTTTATTTGCAGCAATATGTGTAGAAGAGATTCAAGTACTATAAGGAATATCTTGCTGTAGGCATTAAGGGTTGGATTTTGAGACTTGTAGATTGCAGGTGTACAGAAGTGGTCAAGAATATTATACTGGTACTTATAGAGTTGAAAAATCTAGTCTTAAAGGTCATAGAACTAGCTCAATAGGGCTGAAGGGGATTGATCCTGTTAAGATATCACTGCCTTGTTAAACTGGAGTAGCTCAAAGGTGAAACTTAAGTTTTTCTTCTTTGGTATAGGTTAAACTTTCCAACTTATGGCTGAATTTGTAACTTTAGGAACACTGCTTAGTTCTGTGTCCCTGAGTGCCCTTTGGCAGATGTGGTCTCAGTGGGTCTGTTCAGTAGGAGCAGTGCCCGTGGTGGTGGAGGTTGGTGCTTACGGCATCTGAGCGCCCTGGAGTGGTGTGAGCACGTGGCTCGCTACAGGCACACTTACCTTCCAGTACCGTAAACTGGAAATTCATTGCTTATTTACTGTTATGATAGCTAATACATTTCAAATTGCTTTTAAGTGAGCATACCTAATAGGACTCTTGAGCTTTCATATAAAGTGACTGTAGCCTGAGCTGCAAGTGTAAATTAAGCTGTGTTCAAAGCTTTCCTGGCGGTGATTATTCATTTTAGTACCAGGCAGGCTTTTTAGCAGGCTCTTGTTGAGTGCCTGCATGTCACCACCCTAACAAGTTGCTTGCCAGCCTGTTCATTGCATCAGAGTAGCTTGTACTGCCACAAAGCTGCTGTAAAATCAGCTCATGGAGATGAGAATCCACTCGATAGTGTCAGCACTGCCAGCAGGAGAGGGGCTTACCAGCGCACTGCAGCGGACCGGGTGGCTGGTGTAAAATCCAGCCTTGGAGGTAGGAAACATACAGCTGTTAAACTTGGAACTCCAGGAGGTGTTGCTGCTTGCTGTGCAGTGGGCTGTCAGCTCTTAATTTGAGGCTCTGGTCTTATTTACACAGAGGGATGGTGGAGATCTCCAGAGAGGTGACCTTCAGAAGGTACCTTTCTGTTCCCTTGGGTCTCAGGTAATGCACATGGAAATGAAATGCATTGCCTCCAACAGGTGTGAAAACAGAAGCACATCTGGAATAGGAATACTTTCTGCTTGCTTAAAGGAATCTGTTTTTATTTAACTAGAGGGACTTTTTCCCTCTGGCTTGGTGGAAGAATGCTTGAGTGTAGTGTAAGGTATCAAGGCTCTTGCTGTTTGCCACCTTTGTCACAATTCAAGATGTGGAATCTCTATTGGAATATCCCATAAGAATGGAAAAATCAAATGATTTGCTAATTATCAAAACTATTTTCTTGCCCT